ATCTGATAGGCTTATTGATGATTGATTGTTGCTGTAGGGCAATGTTTCTCAGGATAATACTTGAAAGCAAAATGATGGATCGATCGAACTGTGGTAATCCATATCACCTTCCAAACGGACTTGTTTACCACTTTAGCTATATAGCAGGCAAGGACCGAATGTACTGCATGTGTTGGTCATTCTGTGTAATACAGGGTCTGTCATAGTGACCCAACTTAATAATTTATATATTTATTTACCAGTGCTTTATTTATTCATTTATTTATTCATTTAGTTAGTTAGTTATTTGTTGATCTATTCATTTATATATTTATTTGTTTATTTATGTTTCTTATGAATCTGACTGTGGGCTGTTGTTTCATAGGATAATACTTGAAAGCAACATGATTGATGGATGGAATTATTGTAATCCATATCACATTCCAAACAGACTTGTTTACCACTTTAGCTATCTATAGCAGGCAAGGACTGAATGTACTGCATGTGCTGGTCATCTGTGTAACACAGGGTCTGTCATATATAAGGACCCAACTTAATATACAGGTAGTTATGTATGTACATGTACTTTATTTATTCATGTATTTATTTGTTTGCTTGTTTGTTTTCTTGTGTCCATCCATCCAATGAAGGATCTAAACGTCTGTTTGTTCGTTTGTTTATTTATTTATTTGTTGATCTATTCATTTAGATATTTATTTGTTTGCTGTTGTTTCGTAGGATATATACCTGCACTCCAAAGCAAAATGATGGATGGATGGAAATATTGTAATCCATATCACATTTCAAATGGACTTGTGTACCATCACAGCTGACAAACGATGACAAAAGCATGCCATGTGAATACCATTCTGGGTAACACTGGGTCTATCATGAACCAGAATTTATTTTTATTTCCTTCTTTATTCATGCATTCGTTTGTTCATTTGTTTGTTTGTTTGTTTTTCATTCGTTGGTTCGTTGGTGTGCTTGTTCGTGAGTGGTAGAGAGAGAGAGAGAGTGAGAGAGACATATACATATATAGAGAAAGAGGTTTGATCTGGGGACAAGCAGGAAAAAATGAAACACCAGCAAAATTTGCTCTTGGCTTTTAATACCTGTAGCTTTTATCAAAGATACATTTATAAGGTTAAGGTTAAGGTTGCAATTTGGTTTAAGGTTAAGGCTAGATACGTAGTGTTCTTTCCAGAGTTGAAGTTAGGAATTCGGCCAGTGTTATGAATTGATTGTAGAGCAATTAACTCCTGAGTATGTGTCACAGGACCTTTAGCATGTTTACCCAACACACTGTTGAGCAGATTAGGTTTTATCACATTTCCATCCTGTTTTTATAACATTTTATTGCACTTGTACCCAAACAGTGAACACTTTGTGCATTGTATACACAGAAAACAATGTGCCATGGAATCTCTGTTTTATTAACCTCTGTTGCAAGGAACCACCCTCTATATATATATATATATACAACCAAGTAGATACTAACCCTGAGATTACTGAAGATTGAAGCAAATAGAAACATTTTCATAATGTTATCAAGTTTTTATGCATAAGTCTTTTTAAAGTACTTTGTTACAAAATGTTTCATTCACTTGAACATAATATGAATAATTGTACACAATATTCAGAAACATATGTGGATAAGCAATAATGTTTTCTAGAATAATTGATTACATTTCAAGAATGTTTAATTGATGTATTAAAGCGTGCTAAATGATTATCAACTGTCTTCAACAAGTTGAGCAAGATTTACCAAGAACATTCAGGAGTGTATATTAAACAAAACATTCAGGCAACCACTGTACCACACATTCATCGCAATGCTACTTCAATGTAATATGAACAAAGACTATAATATGATTGCTACAGCATACCGGATAACAATACAACGTTTTCACTGATAAACGGTGGATATTGGTTGGCTATATGACGTTTGGCCAACGTTGGCTAAACGTTGGGCCATGACACATGGTGGGAAAGGGGTTGGTATAACGTTGGCCCGACGTTGGCCTGATGTGACTTTGGCGCTGTTGAGCCAACATTGGCCCGCTGGCAAAAAAGACGTTGGGCCAATGTAACAGCTAGCACACGTTGGCCCAACTATTTGGGATGTACAGAGAGGCTTTGGGGCACACCTACATCTACATTGATTCTTGATAGACCGTTCAGTATCTCACCAAGTGCTTTGAAAGTCACATTGGGTGTAAGATGAAAAAACATGTACCCCTGCACTGTGTAATGCAGGGCTCCATGCTAACTTTTTGTGTGGAAAGGAGGTCCGGATGAAAACTATATACATGAACCCTATGCCAAAGAATTGACATTTCTGGGTTCAGACCTAGAGTTCCTAAAAATTCAGTGTAATTATAGAATTTTAGAAATTAACAAAAATGTAAAAAATAGATCTTCTAGGAAAGAAATTGGAGAAGCATTAAAGGATTAGAAAAGAAAAGATAATGGGTCCTCCTCCCGCCCCCTATGCCTGATCAGTGACCTTGTAAATTTGGATTTCATTTTCAGAAAATATGACCACGATGATGCCAGCTAGTCCTCCCTCAATGACTGAACTCATGCTACACATGTAAACCACTGACTTGCTTCTAATATTGCTCTGTTTCTCATCATTTCTTCAAGCTCAAATAGAGCTCCTGTACAGGAGAGAAATCACTGTACGTTTGTTGGCATAGTCAGAGCATTCAAACAAACATTGATTGTATTAGATCTTATTTCAGGAAGCTGTGTTCTTATTTACGTTGACCAGTCCAAACAGAGATATGAAGGGTGTTATTGTTTATTTTTGTATTCTAGAAGTCAAATATTTATGGAAACTTTGATTCCATCTCACAATATAAATTTTAGATCTTTTGTTTCTAAAAGCATCATTCATTTTATATCTACCTGTCCAATTAGAAATATTTTAGGAGAGAATTTATTGGATACTTTTTTGGACAGTCAAAGTACTCAGAAGCATTTTTTCCTTTTCTTCCTCATGAATATAGGGTCGTGTTTCAGGAAGCAATTCTATCAGTTTCTATGTATACAGTACATATATCCTCCTATCAATACAGAATTCATGTTATGTTAGGAAAGGTAGTGGAGACAATCAAGATATACACAAAACTGTCATGTACGGCTGAATGAAGAGTTAATTGTAGTTATGTTGTGCATAAATGCTTGTAAGTAAGCAACCAGACGGTCGACGGCTTTAGGTCCTCTCCGAGGGACCTGGTAATGAGGATTAATGCCTTACCAAAGGGCATTAGCGCATCGCCTTGGTTTCGAACCCGGGTCACCGGATTACGAGACCACTGCTCTACCGACTGCATGAGCTATCGCGCCTCCTGTGTACAATTAACAACTAAACTATTCATGTCTCTTGTAAATTTGATGTTTTTTGTGTTTTCGTAACTCTAGAATGTAAGGTAAACTGGTCGAATGAGATCCTTTGTTGAATACTTTTAGATATTATCTTTAATATGTCACATTCTCAAGAAACATCAATCAGGCCAAATCAAGTTTTTGCATACTATAAAACAAATTACAAAACTTGTTAAGGGTATGAATAATTTAGTTGTTATTACTGTATATCAACTGGTCCACACCACTCTACATAAGAAAGATCCTATATTGGGACAGTCAAATCATTCATGGAAACGTTATAACGCATCGCTCGATGTAAGATTTAATGGTTTTTTTGAGGAAGCACTAACCGTATTATATCCACTTGTCCAAACAAAATCAATCACAAGCGTGCAGGGTAACAGAAGGGCTACGGTCCGAGTCATTATCGACCAGGGATATTCATTTTCCCCAAGCAAACGGAGGCCCTTTAGTTTAATGGCTCTAGGTGTTTAGTAAGCTGTTTCTGAATTCATTTAGTAGCCATTAGGAGTGGAGTATGTGGTGCTAAGTAAACAGGATGGATGGGAGAGGGAATCGCTGGAAAGGTCACTTCTTTATCCTGAAGAAAGTGACAAGAATCCCACTAAGCAACTAAAGCATGCAGTATTGACATGTAATATCCTGATGTACTGTACGTGACACTATAGGGAATTGAAGTGACGTTTATTCCATTATCATAAGATGAAAGATGGAATATAGTGTCATATAACAATATGAAATACATTTCTTAACATTAACAGACAATTTTTGTTTATCATACTGTACAGTTCTTGTCAGCTCAATATGTCAATTTTTCACATCAGTGGATAATAATACTAAAACAAAACTTGTATATATTTTCTGACATATGGAGCATGTAGCTTCTCTATTTCATGACTTGAAGTGATTTTTATAGAAAAAAAATATTATACTACAATTGTTTCCAAAGTATTAAAGTATATTTTGGCAATATTGTCTTACTATTGAATGAAATGAATATATGTAAAACTGCAAATACAATGTTTTGAAAAATGACAACTTTTACCTTGTTTTGTGCATATTGTACCTTCCTCAAATGTGACATTAGAGTGATTTCAGTTTTGGAGCAGTATATCTCTGTCAGAGTGTTTTCTCGCTGATGCTTCTCAAGTACTAGTTTGTTTTTATTCTGGTTAAATGCCAACAACAACAAAAAGAGTTAAATTTATACTTGTATCAAACTTAAAGGCATCATTTAACAATGTTAAATCTGAGATGCATGGCTCCTACGTGTTATCAGTGTCTGTGATATGGTGTGATATTGAAGCCCTTCAAAAGGTCATGAAGTGCCTCAAAAAAATTAGAATCTTTGAGTGACCAGGTTTTCCATACTCATTTTCCCCAATAGACTGTAGTATTATAAAAAACCGTTATAAAAAATGAAATTTTGATTTCCAATCATGAATATCTTAATAATCAGACAGGCGATCGGCTTGTAAAAGTCATGGGATTCCTGACTGACCTAAAGGTTTATAATGCAACATGAGGTAAATCCAGGATTTTGTTTCAGAATCTGTTTCAGAATGTTCCCGAGTCACTTTAAACAAGTTATCCTCTAAAATTCATCTTATATTAATCCTTTTCAGATCTTCATCGAACATTCCCTGACAACATTCACTTCAGCAACGATGCCCAGTACAGCAAGAGATCAGCTTTGTCCAACGTCCTTGTCGCATTCGCCCACCATCGGCCAGAGGTCGGGTACTGCCAGGGTCTTAACTTCATCGTCGCTCTCATGCTGCTTGTCCTACAAGATGAAGAGAATTGCTTCTTTCTACTGCTGCAGTTAACAACCAACATATTGCCAGGTAATAATAATAACATTTAGCTTTTATATAGCGCTTAATACATCTCTGACGTCTCTAAGCGCTTTACAGATATAGGTAATTCCTACAAAAGCTCTATGAAGCAGTCCTCATTTCGTTGCTTTGCTCATTGAGTTTTGAATTAGGGAATGAAGAGAATTGTTTCTTTCTACTGCTTAAGAATAACAAGCAACATATTGCCAGGTAATTCATACAAAAGCTCTATGAAACAGTTCTCACTTTGTGGCTTTTCTCATTGAGTTTTAATTTAGGGAATGAAATGAAGAAAATTGTTTCTTTTAACTGCTTCAGTTAACAAGCAACATATTGCTAGGTAATTCCTACAAAAGCTCTATGAAACAGTTCCCATTGTGTTGCTTTGCTAGTTGATTTTTAATTCAGAGTTCAACATATGGGGGGGGGGGGTCAATGCTTTCTGGATGTCTAGTGCCCATTTTCATTCTGTTACCCAATAAGTATTGATGACAAGACTTTTTAAGAGTGATGAGAATTATTTCTCTCTACTGCTTCGGTTAACAACCAACATATTGCCAGGTAATTCCTACAAAAGCTCTATGAAGAAGTTCCCCATATTGTTTACTTACAAGCATATGCTTTTGTAGCAGTCAAGTAAAACAAACAAACAAACAAAACCATATTTATCTATCATTTGCAGATTACTATGTTCCTCACATGAGTGGCTTAAAGACAGACCAGGAGGTACTGGGTGAGCTAATCAAAGAGAAGTGTCCTGATGTTGCCAGACACATGGAGAAAGAACAGGTCCCATGGTCGATACCCACCACCAAGTGGTTTATCTGCCTTTTCTTAGATGTACTACCAGTTGAGGTGAGTCTTGCTGCGTTTCAGTGAAAAGTCTTTATTATATGTCCCACAAACTGAAAAAAATGTTATGGGGAAAGGTCAGTTTCATTTGAAGCCACTGTTTTTATGGAATGACTCGCCAGAATACCATAGAAATATAGAAACAAATGGAAAGTTCAGAAGTAATTTGGAAACTTTTTTTTTTTAATGCGCTCCACAAAAACGTTTAATTATTATTATTGTTGTAAATTGTATGAAGCTCCATTCCCACGTGATATGGTCAATCTTTTAAAGAACTGCTGACAAAATGAACAAGCTCTGTTTTAAAGTGGAGTGTATTATATTTAATAGGCAATGATGAGTTTCAACATTGTTGTCTGCACTAGAGGCCTGTGTGCATAAACTCTGGTATGTTATACTTGACAGATAGCTTGACAGGATAACTAATTTTGCTCTTGTGGTTTTGCTTAAAGGTACTTTGTCCCTTTTGCAGCCAACCTCAAATGCTGTAGAACTTTGCAGGAATTATGAATATGTCATGTATGTCCTATCTGTGAAATTTAAACGTTAGCAGTGTTCTCATATTCAAATTATGCAAGGAAACCCGTTTACTTGCTAGACTTCACTGTCAGAAAGTTTACATCCTGCAATCAATTTTGTATATAAAAGTATAGCTAATTACATTACACTCAGGTATTAAGAATGTACCAGTATTGTGAAAGAGAGAAAGCCAGTGTTGTTCACATCGCTCCCATTTTCCCTTCTTCAGCCTGTGTTAAGGGTATGCGACTGTCCATTCTACGAGGTTTTCGGGCACATGTATAAAGAATGTAGTGTGAAAGAGAAATAGCCAGTGTTGTTCATGTCAATCACAATTTTCCTTTTTTTTAAAGACGGTGTTAAGGATATGGGACTGTCTATTCTACGAGGGTTCAAAAATCCTTTTCAGAGTCTGCCTTTCGCTCATCAAAAGAAACGAAGCAGAGATCGTCAGAGCTAACAACATCTCAGCTCTCGTAGATTGCTTCAAGAAAGTTACCCAAGCATCAGCAAACATCGACTGCCATACCTTCTTAGAGGTTAGTAATAGTGCCTTCCCTGAGGTACCCTTTTGTATCGCTTCATAGGCCCTTGATTACTCTAAATCCAATTTTGCATCCAAGAAATAAGGCAAACAAATATTATGACAATGGTCAATAAGATTTAATTTACTGAGGGAATACGCATTGATTTAATCAAATTTAGTAGGTGAATACCGACCAATATGACTAACGGTCAATAAGACAAATGGCTAATAACACATAAGAGCAATGTAGCGTGAGACCACTATGACTAAGGACGAATAAGACAAAGTGTTAATAAGAAATAAGAAACATGTGGCATAGGACCACTATGTGACCAATAATACAGAGGTCATAGAGTCTCCCATGTCATATTTCAATTCTTCCATTTCTACAAGAATACAAACTAGATCCTGTCATCATGACTCCTTTTTTTCCTTCTCAACTCTCATCTCATGCAGGAAGTATTTGAGAGCTCTCAGCCACTGAAGAGAGGAACTATCGAGAAGCTTCGCTACCTCTGTAGACAAAGAGTCGAACAAGGTCCATAGGTCACTCTCTATGTCAAAGTTCAACTTTTCTGAGTGTATGAATGATATCCTGCCAATAAACCCATCAGCTAGTGTCAAAGTTCACGCTGGTCGTCGGGCGAAAAATGTCATTTTGTTTCCATGATCAGCTCAGTGCGTATCAGTGATTGTGCTTGCCAAGTTGATGATGACCCGAATGATTAGGCCTTCTGCGGGTGCTTGAGGTCAACGTTCTATTGGGATTATGGAAATGATTCTTTCAGAAGTTCAGGTCAACCTGTGTCAAAGGTCAAATGAAAATGAATGAATGACTATGAATCAACTTGTAGGATAATGTAAGGAGGATAAATCATTCTGATTTCACCGGCTGCTCGCAAAACGGCAGTAACAGCCCTCTTGCAGGCAGCGGATGATTTCATGTCAGTTTCTAGATCAGCACATGCCAAATTAAGACCACCATTTTGTTACAACCATATGTCAAAGGTCAAATGGATACGCTGTATATGAATGACTACCAGTCAGCATATATGTGACAGTGCAGAGGAGAACAAGTCATCATGGCTTTGCATCAGTTTTAGATCAGCACGTGCCAAAGTTGAAAACCTTCATGTCCCTTTGTTACAGCCGCTGTATGTCAAAGGTCAAATTGATTTACGTGAAATACAGGAGTAGAAGTCGACAAATTGTGATTTTTCATATCAGTCTCTAGATCAGCACATGCCAAAGTAAACTACATTAGTATGTCACTGCTTTAAAGTATGAAGGTCAACTTGCAATGTATGTCAGAGGTCAAAGTTGAGAGATCTAATTTATATCATTTAAATGATTTTGTGTCATATCCCAAACCTTGATACATGTCTAAAATTTAATTTATTTTTGTTTGGACATGAATGAACTGTGCATTTACCCTGTACATGTATACGCATGTATTCTCTTCTTTCGTGTTGTATTTTGCTGCAGTAGACCCCAATTTTCACTGAACAACAAAGTGAATGACTACAAGAAGCAATTAGCTTTCTCATGAAATTTCCCATTTCCTTTTTTAAAAAATTTGCTGCTTATTTACTTATTCATGTTTGCAACCTTTATGTTAAAATCAGACGGACTTATTGGACACATCTCACAAATTCAGTTATTCATGGACCATTTAGAGTAAATTTTGTAACAAACCCAGATAAAATGTCACTTTATAATCCCATTATGAAATAAACCTGTACAAAACAACCCTTGTATAATCATATTTTGTATCAAAACTTGTTCTCAGATCTTTCTATAATGCCTAAAATCTACTCTCTCTCTTTTCTTTGTATTGTTGCAATTCTCGCTACCCCAAATAGCGATTCTGCCGAGATCCGGGGAAAATCCTGAAAACGCGCATTGCATTATGGGATAGCTTTTCGACATTACAGCTTCCTGTGCAGGCGTTCGTGATCACAACCCTCTCTTTCACGGTAGAGTTTAACGGCCTTTTGTGCTAAAGTCACTAATTCTGCCCGAAGCTTTCCATTGCATATTATAATCTGTACAAATTACACTGATTGGCATCGATTTTAGCGTGCGTGAAAACTCTGCACAGCGAACACAGGCGCTAGCGCCAGCGGGATGGGACTCTATACCGGAAGTTGTAGTGACGACCCGAGAGAGTGAAAATTACCTCGTCTCGCGAATTTCGAGATTTTCGTACCTATTTAGGGTAGCGAGAATTATGGAGAGACCATCCTGAAATTCTCACTTCCTTACAATCTAGTCTTGAAGTGCAATTTTCTTCTAACCAATTAATGTCTTGAGCGAAAGGTTCCTTGACATGTTAAATTGAATAGTACAATCATGCTTAATGTTGCATTAAAAAATATAGTGTAGTTATTTTCACCAGTCTGGTTCAAGCATCTAAATGTGTTGACTATCATTTGTCTCATTTTGTATTAGTGAAAGTTTTGCTTTTTTGCCAAGTCAATAGCTCTATGTATAGAAAGAAGTATTATTGAAAACGCTGCAAAAAGTTGTCACCTACAGGAATAAAATGAAAAGACCTCAAATCTTATTTTCAACTTAATATGTCGTTGAAAGTAAGTACTCGTATTTATCAAATATTACAAATGTCTAGAAGTTGTCTGGAAGGGGACTTATACAAGAGTAATAACCTCTAGAAGCTTGTAAATGAATTGTAGGAATATGCAAGAAATCTTTTTTTTTCTCCAAATTTCAGAATATATGGAATTGTATGCCAAAGGAAATTTGCTAATATTTAATAATCATTCAAATAGAAATCATTTTCTAGTAAAATGTTCATTTTGTTTCTCAGGAGATATGTGAAACTAAATAAACTGTATTTACATGTGAACGAGATAAAGCAGGAAGGAGGCAGGAAAGGGAGCGTGTGTGCAGTGCTTTGTAACTGCAAGGAAAAGGCGCTATATCAAATATCTTTTGGATTGGATTGGATTGATAAAGGAATCAAAACTTATTTACCACAGTATATGAAAGGGTGATGGCATGGTAAAGATCATACTTGTACGACGTGTAAATCAGATTTTGCTCAAACTTTCACTGACCGGTTCCTCTCATCTTCTTCTGTTTAAAGGTAAAGACCAGTATTGGAAAGGCCCCAATTTCAAAAAATGAAATGGAAGCTCACATTACCAATCATGTGAAAGAATATGTTTTGACTTATACATGATGATAAAAATTTGCCGGGAAACCGCCTACTAATTCATATATTTGGTAAATTTGTTTCTCTCATGGTCTGTGAGAGATATAGGGTAGTCCCATATACATCTTTCTTTGTATAGTGCTTGTAACTTTACGAAGAATGGGCCAAATTTCTTATCATTTTGATGATTCCTGAACCTTGCAGATGCTAGATGCTAGATGATCAACCTTTTCTGATCGATTCCACAACGTTTCTTTCACAATGCAATCGCATGACCATAACTGGTCTTTACCTTTAAGTGTTTCAACCTGTCTGTTCACTTACATCAAGCATTTTTTAGCACAGATAGTATTAATTCAACATGATCAAGTACAGTGTCATTTCATGAAGCAAAGGGGCATTCTTTGTGATTATTGTGTACACTCTTCAAGGACATGTACATCCTCAATGAAACCAAAACCAGTCTGCTGCAGGGCTCTTCCGTTTGTAATTTATTCAAAGAACAATCAAGCTTACTAGCTACCTCTTTACACTGTGATTGCTCATTGTATCAAAACTCAGAAACGAATATACCTGCCAAAGCTTTTTTGATTGCCAGTGTTTTTATCTTCTCTCTCCCTCATTCTCTCTCTCTCTCTCTCTCTCTCTCTCTCTCTATCTCACTCTCTCTCTCTCTCCCGCTCTCTCTCTCTCTCTCTCTCTCTCTCTCACCCTCTCTCTCTCTTTTTGATTCCATGACATTTGCTCCGGCGACAATTGCTCCGCTGTAAATTTCATACACTAATCGAATGGCTTACTTCAACCCTGGATTCAACACTATACCCTACCCTAAACCTAACCCTAAACCTAACATAAAACCCTATTGAAACCCTAATCCTAACCCTACATCTTAGACGAAATAAAGCCCGGAGCAATTGTCGCAGGAGCAAATGTCGTGTCACCCTCTTTCTCTCTCTCCCACTCTCTAACTCCATACATGATGATTTCAGGAGTTATCTTGATGATATTAGGAAAGTGTGGGTGTTGAAACTTGTAAACTTTTTGGTTTGATGAGTTGTCTTGCTTTCATTGATTATTTGGAGTGAAATAATATTGTGATTAGGGAAGAAAACGTGTACCAATAATGTACAAAAATCATGGGTAAAGGTTCCCACCTCCCTGGCTAAAGTGTACATGACATTTGTAAGAGGCAATCTGTAATGAATGCTCGGGTGCAAGTAATGATGCCATTTTGGAAGATGATCATAAACAAGTATGGAATAATCACAAACTACATTCACAGTAGCAGAGAGTAATGTAAATGTATCAAAGAGCTGTGACAATTAAGGCGAGGCGTCAAAAATATCGATACCAGCAGGCTGCCGCCTCACGCATCGAGGCTGCAATTACAGCCGAAGCCTGGCTGGGGCAATTATTTTTCACTTATTAGCCCAGCCGGCTTGCGCTAGGCTGGGATCTGAGGCTCGGTTTCCATTCGAAAGGCGGCAGCCGGCGCATGCTTTTGAATGCCATTTCCTACCGCCAGCGGTAGGCGGCTGAGCTAATTTAAAAAATGCAGCCAGGACGCACAAGTGCAGTTAGCTGCCGCTGGCTGGTATATTTATTTTTGACGCCTCGCCTAACGGAATTAAAAGTGTGGAAATCACTCTATTTTTCTCTCTCTTTTTTTTGATAACTTTTTTTTTTTAAATAAAAAAAAAAAAGGCAAATTTTTACACTGGAATGGAAATGTTCTCAAATATCAGATGCAGAAGCACTGTGATGCACAATCAGTTGCACTGAATTATGCACGAATGACAACATGATACAAATTTAATTTTTTGGTTGGCAATGATGAGTTATACTGCAAATATGTATTCATTTTTAAGTATAAGAGGTGTAGTCTAGGGGATACGTGACTCAACTGTGGATCACATGGTTAACGGTTTGAGTCTCGCTGCACCACTAATGTCCTTTGGCAAGACATTAATCAGCATTTGCCACACTCAACCCAGGTGAAGTAAATGGTTACCTGGTAGGAAGAAATTCCTTGAATGGTTTAGCACCTCATGGCAGCTCAGCTACAGCCAAGGTAATAATATGATACCTTGTATTAAGCGCAGTAGAGTAAATTCATATACTAGTTCTGCTATATAAATTGACCTATTACTATTATTATTATTATGCTTGTTGTGTGTATTCTTTAGATGAGTAGTGTAGTGCATAATTATGCTCTGAAATAAGTAGAATATATTCCTTCACCCATTTGCATAGATCACTAATAACTTTTATACGACACTTGAGAGTATGTATTCTGTATAAAAGTTTACTTTTACATCGGATGTTTTGTTTCTTTGTGGTGTTTTGCTCTGAAATTAGGAGATTAGTGTTGATAAGTTTATAAATTATGAGGGTTTATTAAATTATCCATTCTGATATGAGTCTATGTAAAGCCCTTCCTCACATGGAACCATAGAACGTGTAGTAACACATTTAGACTATTAGATAAACATGGGCCCTGTTTCATAAAACATTTCATCAATAACAAGTTACAATAACTGTTATAAGCTAGTGAAATCATGGCATTTGATTGGCTGAGAGCAAATTTGTCATAGAGATTTATCATTTGTTGTTGATGACAAGTTTTATGAAACAGGGCCCTAGTTTAAATTAGTCTCCTCATTTTTGGAGCACTGTTCTGTACACAAAATGAATAAACAAAATGAATCCAGTCATGAAATGAAAATTAGAGAGATTGGTTGACATGATTTGTGTCTCTTCATTTAGTTTGATACGCAGGAATGGCAGTTTTACATAATATGTTATTCTTTATTTTCTTCATACTTCTTGTCCCTTATCCAATAGAAAGTTGGGTTGATTTTAAACGTTCTAGCCGTGAACAAATTATCTTTTTAGATAGCTGGTACACTTTAAACCTGGACTAAAATTAGTAAGCTTTTATGAGTACCGGTCAAAATGTTATTCTCTACTATTTTATGCAGTCGTCACGAAATGTATTATTTTCTTGCCTTGAAATTGTTTCAAAGAACATTTGATTTTTCATACATGTAATGTACATGTAATGTAAGTTTCTGAGTTCTTTGGTAATCCACATCAGTATTTTCTTCTTGTTTTCATACTTTATTCAGATGTTTATATCAATGTAAATGAAAAGTATTTGATTGTCATCTAGAATGTAAGATTATCAGGGTAATTGAATTTAATCATTTGAAGGATTTGTTACTGATGATCAAGTTTTGAGAGACATTTTGTTTTGTGAATATGTCATGTTGGTCAGAATCACATGAAGAATATTGTAATTATATCTTATGAAGATTTACATACATTGTTTTCTTTTCATTTGAAAATCAATTCACTTCTCGATCAAGTCATTCAATAATAGTGAAACTAATACTACTACACATACACTGCATACAATGTAATGAATACTTCATCGTGAAAACATTTCGCTTACTTGTATTCTATTTTTGTCTCATAAATAGCCTATTTAGTCATATCAAATCACGCCCAATATTTCAAAATAATTTCCATTGATCTTCTTGGTTTTCTGAGGAAACAATTATCCTTGATTATGTGTTTACAATAGGAATCCTCTCAGAGATAGCAAGGATGGGGAAATGAAAGCATTGGAGTGTTGGTGCAGGGGATGTAACAGAATTGTGACAATCACTTTGAGTGGATTAAATTTGATAGATTTTGACATAATTTGCTCTCGTTTGCTCGTATGTAATATCATCTCCCGAGAGCGAGAAGGCCATAAGCACAGTGCTATTACCCTTCTTGCATTCTATAGATGATATGTCATCAATTTTAAAAGATCCTTTGTCTGTTTCAGTACTAGTTACGATAGAGAGCTACAGATGCATGTATATGTATCAAGGCTATATACACTTCACCAAAAGCCTGTTTTCTGCTTTAAAGGGCCAAAAGGGTGTTAACTCATATGCTTTAACACAGAGTTAACAGCCTTCTGGCTCTGAAAAGACAAAATGTAGTTATACTTCAGGTGATGCCACTCAAAATCTTCTCATATACTTTTAATTAATTTTTCTCCCTTTCTTGAGTAATTATAGTTCATGGATATTTCGTGTATACTTTGTGCACTTCACACATGTCATTGTAAGACAGTATTCAATTTCTGTATAATACACAAAATGTGTTTATAATTTTATGTTGTTATTTCTTTATCAATAATAATCATGATGAATTGACCTGCTTGACTGATAAATTAGAGGAAAATAAGAATATGGACATTTTTGGAAAAGATGGAGAACTTCTCTGAAAGAATATGATGTCATTTTCATTATGTCAGATAGTTAAGCTGATTTTCTGGTGAAAAGTGTCCCAGACATTTTAAAAATCATTTTGTCCTCTTAAATGTCAAAACTGAACAAATTTTGAATCTGTGATGATTATGTGTTGGTAAATTTGCCAATGTGGCTTTGGACAGAAAACTTCACTTTTTGTAGAGAAAATGACTTGAACTTCAGAAGAGTTTGAAAATATTGTGATGTATAATACATGTATATGCTGAGAGTATATATATTATGTAAATTTGTGGATATTGTACAATGTATATCTTATTATCAGAGAATTTATCAATTTTTCAATATATGTTTATCACATGCTATCACTATTCAAAATGAGATGTCGTGCTAATGCAAAGTAAATGTTTCAATTCACCAAAGTTAAAGTGTATATTGCCCTTTGTGTACATTGTTGTATATTAATGTCATCTCAGGATTGCATCAACAGCAGATTATCCTCCTCTTCCTCCCTCCTCATCAATTATCACTATCATCATCACCATCACCATCACCCTACATCATGTGAATCATCCTCCTTCTTATCATCCCAACCATCCTCCTATCATCATCATCATCATCAGTTATCACCATCATAAATGTTTCATTGTCATCATCATCCTCCCCATTCTCCTTCTCATCATCACAACCATCCTCCCCTCCTCTTTCTCCCCCTCATCAATTATCATCATCATCCCTCTTCATCATCATCAATTATCATCATCATCCCTCTTCATCATCATCAATTATCATCATCATCCCTCTTCATCATCAATTATCACCACCATCATTACTCTTTCATTGTCATAATCAACTATCATCATCATCACCACCACCATCACTACCGTACTTTACCATTATAATAAATCATCCATGAAATGTAAACAAACAAAAAACTGTCAACAATTTCTTTTAACATTACAACAAAACATGCCTGTATACTATCAAGTGGTTGGTTGATATTGAAAGCATGACAATATTGGTATTTTATTGTGATTCAATAGTGATGATACTGTGAGTTTTCTCTGTTGATAATGATGAATCAATATTCAAGCCAAGAGCGTGAGAGGACGTGATCCATTGTTTAAGAGAAGATTGAATTCAGACAAAGTTGAACAATTATTTGTGAGCTTTTTCGTTCTTTTAAGTTAGTGTGAGAGAGTATCATATTTGAAAAAAATGTCCCCTGAAGAAGGATTACTCTTCAAATGCCCTCATATTCGAAATAAGAGGGACAAATAATAGCTAAAGGATTGTGAAAAAAAAATTCATGCCACATGTTCGCATAGTCCCAATAACACATGTATACTGTGTCCAGTGCATGTGAGCTTTAGCAAGTCTCTGCAAATTTCTTATCATTTTGGTGATTCCAAAACTTCACAGTACACAGTCTGATCCAATACTTGCATATGTGCTTTATGATCCACTTTTCCAATTACTACCACAGTTTCTCTCACAATGCAATCACATGACCACAACTCAACTTTGCCTATAAAGGAAGATGAAAATTAACATTTTGTAGCTTAAAATCCACATCAAAATATTCTGATAGGCAGCTTCAGACACACAATTACTCATCAAACACATGTGCGGTTGTTTTTATTCCTTTTCTTTTATTTTGTCCAAATACGAATTTGCGTCTCTTGCACAGGAAACGAAAGAGAAACAAGCAATACATACTCTTGAACACGCGTACAGCGTAAACCTGTATTTATACAATGTAATACTTGCTCATGTCATCTTTATTTTATTCTCACTCACTCATCTTTCCTCATTTTTTTGTCTTTTTAGCACTTTTTTTGTCAAGATTTTATCTTAAATACAATTGCGAGGTGAAAACGTACTTTACACAACAGTTTTAGTACTCGATTCTACATGAACTCCACAAAGTCTTGGTTTACATTGTTTAACATAATGCTGTACATTTTTATAGGTAATCAATCCAACGACATTTCTACATTTAAATCGGTCTCTGTGCTCGACTAAGAAAGTATTTGGCAATAATGTACAAGTCTATTCTCGGCTCAGCGTCAATCTCGCACTCCGAGAAATAAATAATACCAAAAACGTCCTTAAATGCTACACAGCTTTTATCGTTATCGTAATAGGCACTGTGAAAAAACGTGAACATGAACAAATAAATGTCTAAGTTTTTTATAGAAAAGAACAATCCAAGATTTTATCATTATATCATACACATTATCATACAGCATGGATATTCCATCACATTTGCAGCCAAGTCTTGGGGTTTATGTATTCACATATTAATGTTATCACGACACATGCAGTGCAAGCTCATTGGTAGATTTGTAATAGCAGGCATCGTTTTCATAACTCACTTCGTTTCTCAAATTCTTCTTGTCAATTTCAGCAGATGTGATGTCAATGTTTATTAGAAACCTCCGGTTAATATTCAAGCAAGCCGATATTGTATGAAGTGTAACTCTTAACTTCACTCTTTATCCATCCAAGTATCAGACTCTTTCTTTAAGCAAAACTTCAATAATCAGAGATGTACCTGTAGAAATAGCAAGTTGTTTAAAGTTATGTCATGCACAAAATAGTAGCCAGATACTTTCACGTTTTCACATGGAGTAGTTGTTGAAAATACTGTACATGATTTATAGACAATTGGGAAGGTTACTCGTCCTAACTTAGAGATAAAATCATGCACTAAAGATAACTGTCGTGCAAAAATGAAGTTACTTGAAGTGCAACCACGTTATATTGTACTGTACAGTTGAGAAACAATGTACAATCTACACAGAAACCTCTGAGTTACAGACTATGTCTTGCACTGTGAATATAACACATTGGAAAGTGAACTTCACATGTTGAATACCACACTCTACCGACCAATCTCCATTCCAAAGTAAAGACACTGGTGACAAATTTTGTACTTTGTGACAACTTTTGAACTTTACAACAACACAAATTTTCCAGCTTGCAATGCATTTTCTGTCGTATCTTTGTGTATAAAGTGAGTAACACATAGAGAAAGCTAAATGCCTATCATACGCCCAAATGCACAGCATTATCATTAAATTAAACAGTTTATCGTAATACAATTAAAGAATATCACCATTAATCAAATAAGATGAATAAGACTGAATACATGCAATAAGTGTACCAGTAAAAATTTCTATACTATAAGGAAGACTGCATGCAAAACTAATAGAAATTATTCATCCAACGTTCAACATCTAAACAAGAAACAAAACTCATTGAACTGACATTTCCTCTGTTAGGAGCCAGAAGGGCGTTGAACTCCCATTTTATTCCGAGTTAACGTCATCCTGGCTCCAAGCATTTCCTTACTTATCCCTCTATTGGTGATGAAACAAAATCACGTAGATACTACGAAGACTAGTAACAAATGAAAGACTACTTCTCATGAACTCGTACGAAAGAGAATTCCTGCAGGCTCTAAGCGTTTAATCAGTAAGAATGCAACATGGACACAAAAGCAAGAAATATCACCGATAAGCTGTATAACATCTTACTAATTCTCTCAGAACCGCAAAGAGTTTCAAACAATTATCACCTTGAAGGCAATAGAGAACACAATCATAATCCTATTCAATTCTCATATCATACAAAAACAAAACTGACAATAACAAAAATATTCACTGCATGGTGCTTTGGTGTGAATGCGTACAAAAGTGCTTCTTGGAGATAATGAACTGCATTAACTTTATAAAAAATAAACATGTATTAGGTACTCTCAACTTTATCCACCGCATGTTTCAAAGAAGAGGAGCACCTTTTAAACAAGTGGTGACATACAATTTGCTGAATTGCACTCTACATATTTCTGTTCACGCAAAAATGAATTTTATTGATAGTGTTCCTTCAGAGCTAGCAGAAGGTTGGAACACTTGATCAAGGTCAAATTGGACTGTTATTTATATCATACAACTTATTTGCAAGGTGGCTTTATGAGCTGTATTAAAGTCAGTCTAGTTTCTGTCCTCCAAACTGTACATTCTGGGGCGGAGCAAGTAGATGGGGGAAATTAAATGGCTTCCTTGTAAATACAAGACAGTAGTAAAGGTGTTCATCATCTACTCTTGATCTTCGAGTCCGAGACTTTGGGGATCTCTTTCTCTCTCTCTCTCTCTCTCTCTCTGCAATCCGATTATTCTAAAACCCAAATCAGTCTCTCATGCCCTTGATTTTCAGGTTAAACAGAAAGAGACTTCAGGCTCCGGCGTGTGTTCTACTCTGGATATATAACACTATCAATCTCTTATGTAAGTCTTCACATACAACATTCCTGCCTCTAGGACCACATGCCACTAGACAACACCTCAGGTTGAAAAGCTGCATAGCCATCACATGTAGAGGTGTGGTCGTGGTCGTGGGTTCGATCCCCGACACGGCACCAATGTCCTTTGGCAAGGCATTAATCTACATTTGCCACTCCATACCCAGGAGAGAAATGAGGACCTGGTAGGATGACGAAAGCCTATGTGTTAGTAATCATCATCTGCCATCACGCGACCATATGGTTGGACTACTCCCCAGGGAAAGGAGATGGTGCACATTGTGCGTGAATGAAACCGATGACTCGGGTAAAAATATCTGTAAGCGCTTAGAGATGGCATTTTGTATTAAGCGCTGCATAAATCCAGATTATAAATATCATCAGCATTATTCATGAGTTCTGGTACGTAAGTTCAAGTCGAAGTAGGGGAAGACTACCTACGCCTATGATATGCAAGCCAGACTTCCTTACAGATAGTCGACTCAATATTACCAAGACGTGTGTGTTGTGTTATGTTGTGTTGTATCAAGTATTGTCAAAGTCTAATCCAGCTGTTCCCTCTGTCTCATTTTGTCCACTTCTAAAACCATTCAAGTTATGGAAGATAGTCATTGCATCCGTATTGTCCCATTTACCTTGAGAATAAATGTACAGATATATTTCCAAACCAGTATTTCATGCCCCGGCAAATGCTGAGTAGTGTTTACCAAGTCACATGGCTTGAATGATGTTGATAATATATCCCCAAATTTTGAATAAGAGTAGGATTAATTATTGAAGCATACACAAAGTTGTTTTTGTGATACAGTGATCTTTCTACGATGTATAACTTCTGAGTATACTTGCAAGTATTTTTCTGTTTCTATTCGGTTTTCGCCATTGTCTATTTTGCATGTCTATCAAACCCATTAATGGGTCTCTATCATCAGATAGGAGATTCTTCAGCATTTCTTCGGTATGTTTCAGCAAGAGACACCAATAGTTTATTTTCAAATGTCGACACAGAGTACCACATACACACACACACACGTACATGTCCTTTCACCAATGTGCTTTCAAGCCGTTTAACAGCAATCATGTGGTCTCACCACAGGGCTAGCTACAGTTCCAACTGTCCTCAGAAACACATGCTTTGAAACAAGCTATATCTAGAGTTTCTTTCAAGCTTAAGTGAGTCTATAGTTTGATGTCTTGCTTCATCCTAGTCTATTTATCAACGTGTTAGCAGCTCAGTGGCATCTAGCATGAGTTTATTGTAGTCTTCCACTGCCTGCTACCCCGATCGATGGATATCAGAATTCCAGGCCTAACTTACAGTCAGCATTCTACACATTCTCCATACCCCTTTCAGCAGTGCTATGTGACTAGAACGACAGAGGCAGCACAGAATCGTACCTTTGGGACTACACGAAAGCATATCTATTATGAATACAACACAATCACATTTAAACAAGGTCATTCTTCAGATCAAGTCAAAGCAGAGAAAAAAAAAAAAACATCAGTCAAATCTTCATCATAGTCACTGTAAGTAGTAAAATTCAGTAGAAACAGATTCTCATAATCCTCACAAATTTGCATAATTTTGAAACAGGCGATTTATACCAGAACGCGCGTTTCTTAACCAAAGACGCACTTCCTTTAATATAAAACTTCAAACAGTGCCGTTTGTCAGGCCCTCTTTGGGTTCCTTTTCAGCCGAGGAGACGGGTGCGTCGTTCCCCTGCTTGCCCTTAGCAGGAAGCCGCTCCGTGTCGCTGCCCGTCATGTTGCCGTTCGTGGTGGGCCCGCCCCGTGGTCTCGGTCGACTATACCGCCCTCTGCCTCCTCCTCCTCCTCCTCCTCGCTGCTCTCGTTGCTCTCGCTGCTCTTGTGGGGGTGGTTTGCTGTTTGCCGATGCACGGCCGTTGGGCATGTCAGCGTTGGGCCGCGGGGGTCCGGATGTTCGCTGTTCCCCGGCAGAGTTGTCGTCCCGTCCGCTGTTACCGGGATGTCCATTGGATCGATTTCTAGGACCTGGTGAGATAAACACAACATAGATATAAAGGTACAATCATTGGCTTAATCGCAACCCTGGGAAACCGCTGGTATAGTTTCAATGGGGGTGAAGGGGGAAGGGGGAAGGGGGCGGCATTTCAAAACAAAACTTGCGGATGAATTTGAACACCCACCGCTAATAAGCATAAAATTTGCCCATGATTTTACTACACTTTGGAAAAAGAAAGTAGATACTATTTACAATTAAGATTTTCACATAAATATTTTATTTTAACTTACCTTTCATATATCAAAATTACCCTTAATCAATGTGTGTCTGAGAAAAAAGTCTGAACTTTAGACATCGAAACTGTTACATGTAATTTTCTCCTTTTGGATGTGATACAAGAACTTTCAAACCTTTGTGAATTAATGCCAATAATTCTTTGTTAAAGCCTATCTGCACTAGTTTGGCTAAAATGGATTAGACCTCCCTGGGTGGTCACTGGCAGGTGGTTATCTCATCAAATCAGCTCAAAATTAAAATAAGAAACGGGGGACCATGGGGGACCAACGGGTACCGCTTAGGCATAGTTTGCTATATAGAGAGCGGAAGTTGCTACAAGTAGTGCAGTGGGGCTTTAAAGAATAAGAGTGAAAGCCCTCTGGCTCCAAAGAGATGGTTTGATGGCTGTACCTGATGGTCGTCTGTTGAACTGAGGTGATCCCGTCTTGCTCGTATCTGTATCTTCCTCTTTATCACCGCCTGGTTTGACACCCTTTGGTCTCCTCTTCTTAGGCTTCTTAGTAGGCCTCCTCCTGTTCTGCTGGTCATCTGGAAGGTCAAGGGTCATAGGTCAATGCTGGCTGATACTAGTGACAATTACAGTGCTGATAATACAACTTCTGGTATAGCATTCATGTTTGTCTTGCAACTGGAACTATTATTCCTCAAAGCGTAGTGCTCAAACATTCCACATTTTAACTTTGGGGGGGGGGGGGGGGGCAGCAATATTGCCAAAAGAAGCTTGGCTAAGATTGAAACCTGTAATCTCCACTACGTCTCTATCGGGCCTCAAGTTATCACCAGCCCCCCCCCCCCCCCCCACCCACCCAACCAACACAATAAAACATCCAAAACCCTCATTCACTTATTCTTACCAGCTCCATTGTTATTAGTGACATCTTCATCCACAGTGGTCGTGTCTTCCAGCACGGTATCGTCCTCGTCATCTTGTCGCCTCCTATGATCATGTCTGATGTCATCATCCGTCCCAGAAAGGGGTGATGATGGTCTTTGGGAATCTGTAGATGTAAAAAGCGTATGGTAGTTTACATTGAGTCACTTGGAGCCCCTTCATGTACACAGTCTTCTTGATCATCTAAGAGATCATTTTATACTGTTAGTTCTGTCTTTCAATGACAACACTAAGATATTCATATTTCTTGTTTGAAATGAACTGAGAAATAAGAGGCCTGGATTTAGTGGTAGAAACAAATAGAGTTTGAGGAGGGAGGAATAAAAGAAAGAAAGGAAGAAAGAGGGAGAAAGGAAAGAGAGACATATACAAACAGTAAGATGGAGAGACGAAGAGGAAGAGAGAGAAAGACAGAGAAAGACAGAGAGACATACATACATACAAACAGAAAGACAGAGAGAAATGGAGGGATTATGAAAGAAAAAGTAGAAGCTTGGCGTGAATGAATAAAAGATACAAAGACATGGGTCCACTGAGGGTAATTGAATGACGGGAAAGCAGGAAAAAAAGAAGAAAACTCTACTCACCTCTCATGACTGGTGGTCTTCCGCCGCCACCACCACCACGATAGGGTGCTCTGCCTCGCCCCCTGAATGACCCTCTACCACCGCCACCTCTCCTGTAGCGAGGTCCATCATCATTACGCCTGTAACCCTGGTCATCTGAGACTGCAGCTCTATCCGCCCAAGAACTTGATCTAGGCTCCTCCCTCTCTGATCCACTCCGACTTGTATCTGTACAAATGGTCAGATAAGTGATGCATTCAGTTCAAAAGAATTTGTATTGAAGACGATTTCATGAGTAACTTGAATGTCCATGTTAATGTTTTGTTTTGTTACGTTCTCTAAACTGATTTGTCCAAAAATACTTTGTTTAGCTGTTTAAGGGGTCTACTAGCACATGTGCTATTTTCTGGCCCCTTTTACCAACCAATAGTTTCTCTTCTTGTATATGTAAATTATTGTATGAAATGTATTGCTGTTGGTAAATAAATCAAATCAAATCAAAAATCAAAATATCTAAACTACAAATCGTCAATTGATGTCCGGAGTACCTTAAGTTTAAACCTATAGACCAGTTCTGGTCATGCGATTGCATTGTGAAAGAAACGTTGTGGAATCGATTAGATCATCTAGCATATAAGTATTGGTGGGTACTGCAAGGTTCTAGAATCATCAAAATGATAAGAAATTTGCCCAGTCTTGGTAAAGTTACAAGCACTGTACACAGAAAGATGTATATGGGACTACCCTATATCTATCCAGTCCAGATAGATATGATAATTTACCAAATATATCAATAAGTAGGCGGTTTCCCGGCAAAATTTGTACCATCACATATTAGTCAGAACATATTATTTCACATGATTGGTAATAAGAGCTTCCATTACATTTTTTTCAGAGGGGGGCGTTTCCAAAACTGGTCTTTACCTTTTAGCAAAAATCCTCAGAACAACTTACTATCTTACTATAAAATTCTGTCTTAGGTGTGAAAATTGTCGCAGCAGACCTAAACAAAATGAGTCTTCATGTGGATTAATACTTTTGCTCAAACAGAGGAATCCTCAGGATATATCTTCCTTTAGAATTTAATTTTAACATTTAAAATAAGAAGAGGCTTCACAATAAGACTTACAAATTCAGTACATTAATACATGGTAAAGAATAATATATAGGTTCCTTTCCTGAGGCCGCCATCACGTTCAAGCTCTAGTTTAAGAGGGCGGTCTCCTGCATGTTTCAATTTTGAAATAATTTTTAAACTATGTGTTTTTTGAAAGGTATAATTATTCAATTGATTTATATTATGATATGATCATATATGTATTTTGATTTTTGTTATTAATATGTATGTACCTAGTTTGTATACTACATTTTATTATGCTGTAAAAGAATAAAGAAAATGCAGAAACAAAAATCAAACAAACAAACAAGCCAACTGTAGTTAATAAATGAGACTGCAAGTTTTACCTGTAAACGATCTCCCCCGTTGGCCGCGCCCCCTCCCTGGTATCCCTCTCCCGCCGGACATGCCCCTTCCTCTGCCTCTGTAACCCCCATGGTCATCCAAAGACTGGTCTGACCCATAACCCCTGTCTCCTCTCCTCTCTCTGCCCATGGATGGGTAGGTACCGGCAGAGTGACCCATTGAACGCAGCTGCTCATCGATGTGCAGTCTCTGGATACGTAGGTCCTCCATGTCCTACCAAAAGAAAAGGTAAAAATTCAAAATAAATGCATTAAAATTAAGCATTTATTCTCCATTCAGAATTTTTTTTTTTCAGTGGTAAAAGTTTACATTTCAATTTACAAAGAGAAATAATCATAGTCATAGACAGTTTTTAATACAGTAGTAATAAAATACATTCAGGAACAATTCCCAAACTACATTAACATTTCTTATACTAGAATCCATCAATTAAATTCAGAATTCTTTACTTGTATTCTTTTCAGTCTCCAAGTCTTACAATACATATTTCTGTTTCGAAGCTAGAAGAGCCCTGACTAATAAACACAGATTTAATGCCCTTCCGGCTCTGAACAGATGATATGATAGAACCCTGAGGATTCTTATTCGATGCAACCAAGTTTAAATTTCAGCTAGATGCTTTGAAGTTTTAATACCAACATGGCGTTCAGTATCTTAAACAGAATTACATATAAATTGAAAATGATAAGGATAATTTCCAAATCAATTCATATCGTTATGGCTGACTTGGATTTTCTTCCAAAAGGAAGCAAGTTACAGAATTAGATCTAACACCAATTGTTTGCCTTACGTTGCAATACCTTAACCGATGGCCTGCTTTCAGCGTGTATTCTGGTATATGTATATTCATTATTTTCTTCCTTGTTCCTTCAGAGAAATGATGAAATTAAAGGGGAGTTCCACCCTGATATTAAGATGGCTTTAAAAAAGCAGAAAAACGAGACTTGCACTTGAATTCTTTCATCCTTTCTTCATTAAAACCTAAACACCCACCTTGAGATGTGCTAGATGGTACTCCAAGAGAATCTTTGCATTTTCAATTGCATCTTTGGTCCCAACGAAGACAAACGGAACCACCCCATCATCCTCCATCTGACCTCTCTCGTTGTCACCTTTGACCTTTACCCTCACAACCCCTGACTTGTCTACAATCTCTTGGATGACACGCCCATTCTTGCCTATTACTTTGCCTGTAAAAAAAATATAGAATTTGTGGGGAAAATTAGAGTACTACATTTAAAAACAAATTCACATAAATGAAAGATAACAACAAATGAAACACACATTTGATGCTTCGACAAACTATGTTACAATAAAATTTAAAAAACAATTATAAGCGAGGGGTTTATCAGTATGTAGTCAGATTAACAGCTGTGCCTTCATCAGCTTGTGTTGTAGAGATGAATAATAAAAGCAACACTTTCACTTCATAAAAAGAGCTTTGAGATGCCATTTCTACATTGGCTTTGAAGTTCAACGAATGAACTTTATCAAGCAGTTTAAATATATGAAATGTATCAAGAAGTCACGGTACTGTTCATTGGTGGCAAAGTGTCTAGGAATAAGTATGTCTCCAAACTGTTTGTTATTTATTCCAATTTTGGTGATGAGTGCAGCTGAGAAGGGAGTCTGTTCCAGGTTATGAGTTATTGTGCTGTACTATACCTTGCACTAAATCTTCAGTTAACTTCCAAGAGCAACAAGAAAGCAGTAAGATGCCAAGAAGGTAGACATTGGTAATTAGCTTCTTACCTATTAAATGCCTTGGTACTGTGATATAATCATCAGAGAATTCCAGCATACTTCTGGCTTTCTTCACAGCTTCTGGGGTCTGTAAATAGAACAGGGCAAAGAGAAATTACCAAATTTGGAAAAAATATATCATTACAGAAAATGATGTGATGACAACCTGGTGGCACTCTTCTGTAAATGACAGCTCACAAACACATGTATTCAGAATTATATGAACTATAAGCTAGAACTACGACAAACTTTGTTTTCTTGATCTAACAACATTACTGTGCCTCTTGTTACTTGCAGTTTAAGCATCTGTTTTCATTCTATTGTGATTTCACTATCCAATCTTTTTCATCCAAATCTAAGAAAAGATACGTAAAACAAATATCCGACCCTGTTACAACTGTCATCACCACTATCAATTTACAACATTCACATTACAAAATTTACTATATTTATTATCATCATTGACATCCATTACCACCATTACCATTATCATCATCATCATCATAATAATCATCACCATAAACATCACCATTGTTATGGCACTCATCATCATCATCATCATCTACAGCATCATCACCATCATCATCATCACCATTACAGTCATCCTCCTCCTCCTCCTCCTCCTCCTCCTCCTCCTCCTCATCATCATCATCATCATCATAGCTATCACCATTACAGTCATCCTCCTCCTCCTCCTCCTCCTCATCATCATCACTATCATCATCATCATCATCATCATCATCATAGCTATCACCATTACAGCCATACTCCTCCTCCGGTGACACGACATTTGCTCCTGCGACAATTGCTCCGGGCTTTATTTCGTCTAAGATGTAGGGTTAGGGTTAGGGTTTCAATAGGGTTTTATGTTAGGTTTAGGGTTAGGTTTAGGGTAGGGTATAGTGTTGAATCCAGGGTTGAAGTTAGCCATTCGATTAGTGTATGAAATTTACAGCGGAGCAATTGTCGCCGGAGCAAATGTCATGGAATCCCTCCTCCTCCTCACCATAATCATAATTATCTAATCCTCATCATCACCATCTTAATCATTATCACCATAATTAATCGCCATTACAGCCGTTCTCCTCCTCCTCCTCCGCCTAAACATCATCATCCTCTAATCATCATCATTATCATTATTCTTTATCTCCTCCTCCTCATTGTCATTACTTACATCTCCATACACTCTGAATGTGCATGTGTTTTCTTCCAGGTCCACTCTCTTGACGCCTTCCACCTTCCTGGCATTCATGATGTTAGCACCATGGCTACCGATAGCCAGTCCCATCAGCTCTTCCTTCACCTCAAACTCTTCCATGCACGAATCCGTCTGATGCTTGGTCACCTGCAAGGCATAAAAGAAGATCAATCATCAGGGGGGCGTTTCACAAAACTTGTCATCAGTGACAAATGACAGTTTTTGTTATAAGCTACTGAAATCCTTGATTCTGATTGGTTATCAGCAGAGTTGGCACTGTTTTTTTTCATTTGTCATTGACAAAAAACTTTGTGAAATGCCCCTCTGGTGGAGACACTGTGGCCTAGTGGCAGAGCAGTGGTCTCGTTACCAGGAGGTTCTGGGTTCGAAACCAAGCTAGTGCCCTTTGGGAAGGCATCAATCCTCATTACCAAGTCCCTCCGGGAAGACTAAAAGCCGTTCCCCTGATTACTTACTTCTGTCATGATTATTTATTTACTTGTTTGTCATTTGTAATGTGCTAATGATTTTCCTTTCCGTTTGTGCTTTGTTTGCATTCTGTTTGTGCTGTTTTTATTACTATGATTGTAAGGGGAACCGCTGACTTTTATTGCAGGCCACTGGCTTTTAAATGCAATTTCACAGGCACGATTCTATCATATATATCATATATATCATATCTTTGTATTTTATGAAATTAATCAATTGAATTGAATGAAAATGATATATTTGGTGCCACGTGCCTTGCATAACAGGCCAATCCTTCAAAGGTGAGAATGGATTGTAAATCTTGGTAAAATATGGATGAATGAAAGCTTACCTCTAGTTGCTGTGCTGCTACTTCTGCCCTCGATAGCATGAGAATCTTCTCTTTGAGGTTGCGTATGTGCATATCACTCAGCATCTGTGCTTTCTTTACACCCTGTGCTGATGTAGCCTGTACAATCAAACAACAAAGAAACACAACTGTAGCAATTACATTTGCAATCATTAAAAAAGAGGTGGCAGAACTTGGTGGTGCAGTGAATTTTGCATTAAATTTGATTACATTATGAAAATGGTCTTTTGGTCCTGGAGGTACAGTATGAAATAAAAGTTCCCCGTCATTTTACTGTTAAGCAACAATATAGGTAAGATATATAGGTAAATTTCTGTTATTGTTATTTCTGCTTCAATTCACAAATTCAAGTATTCTGTTAACCCCAATAAACCGATGGTTTGATGAGATCTATGTAGGCACCTTCATAATCCATTAATTATAGTTTATTGGTTCCGAAACTATAATATCTATCAAACTTTCAAGTTTTTGACTGATTTTATTTGCCTGTGCTGCCCTCTATGGCTAAATACCGTAGTTGCTGTAGCAAGAATGGTACATTACTAGTACTTTTCAAATTATTGATTAACGCATACTTACAAAGACTACCAATGCATTTTCATCCTCACTGTACGTAACCAGAAGAGCGTTGGTGGCTTTCACGTAATCCCGATGATTGGATGCATCTTTACAACTGCAGACAAACAACAAACACACCATTAGTAGAAACAGTCAAAGAAAAGAGAAGGGAGGATTGATCCCATAAAGAATTACACGAAATGAAAAGATGCAGTTGTTGCCTGCACCGACTTGTCATGTATGTTTGATGACGATCAATGATTGTTTTACCCGACTGCTAAGAAAGCATGTGTGTGCTTGTAAGTAAATAACCAGGTGACTGACGGCTTTAAGTCCTCTCCAAAGGGCATGAGTACATTGATTTGGTTTCGAACCCGGGACCTCCTGGTTTAATACAAGACCACTGAGCCATCGCGCCTCCTCATCGTGAGCATAGATTGTTGAAAAGTTTGAAAAGCATAAAGAACCCTACTCATCATGATTGGTAGTTGTTTCAGGTGTGATCATAGAACAAGATTTCACTTTTAGGCAATGTAGCAAGGGGCTACAAAAGTAGGGGTAATAGTATGATAGTAACTGTGCTTTATAAATGGACAGTTATTATTACAAGATATTTGAGAGGGAATCGATACTTACAATTGCCTGAGTTCAGTCGGTACATTGACGACTGCTCTGTGAATACTATCTTTGCTCAAACACCCACTAAGAAGCACAAAAAAGAGAGAACACAGATAAAACGTTAATGAAACTATTACATATTATCACCCATATCAGACATCCGAGCAGTGGTTTTACAAAATCATATTACACTTGTTGTAATCCTAGAAGAGCTAATCAGTAAATATAACACCATATTACCCTTTCATGAAAAAGCCCAAGGACTTAATGTGTTAAAAAAATATAAGACCATATTTACCGCGCCATATTTTGTCATTTTCATTGCGCATCTATTATGCGTACAAGAACCTGCACACTTTGCGCACACTCTCTTGTGACGTTTTTATCACACAAAAGGCACACACTTTTTGTCTGTTTGGTGACCAAAGGGCGTTAACCCTGTGCAAAATAATACATTCCTTTTTGGTTGCAAAGAGATCATATAAGCTTGTACAGCAAAGGAAGTAAGAAAAACAATAAAAGGTGCAAATATCAAGCAATTTTCACCATATATGATACTGTTACTATTTTTAAATGCTAAAAAAGTGAATGTGAAATATATTCCACAGTAATGTTTGTGGGCACCTTAGCTACTCACGGCCAGTTTATCATGTATTTACTATCCATGAGACCAGGAACTCCAGGCACTGTACAAGGTAGATACATACACAGCTCATCTTGCACAGATAGGGTGTGCACAAAGATTACTGCGGAACGTCCTTAAATGTCATCTAAAATCATACCCTGACTATTCCATTACAATGGTACTAAAAACTATTACAGTTTGTGCAATGACACAAAATTCATCTACATGGTTAGGAACGGTTTGAAACTGTCCATAAGGTGCTTTTTAAAATGGTATTGACTACTTGCAAACATTATTCTGTGAAACACGACTCACTTTGGATTTATCCGCCTCAGCCTATCGCCTTGCACTATTTCATTGTAGGTGGCATCGTAGCCTGTATACTCTATTACAAAGAACTGCAAGATGAAGAAAACAAATATACAAACATGTTACATCAGAGGATTTTTTAATAAGTTCATAGCAAATGAAATATAATCGCATGAAAAGGTTTTTCATCTTTAATTCACAATGCATGTACACAGTATACTGTACTTTATTTTCTCTTATTTGATGATGGGAAGGGGTCATACAAGTACATTGGCTAAAATAGTGACAGTTTGTTTCATAACAGCTAAAAATCACAATGTATAAAATCCAGTTTGATAAATCTTTTTCCCACATCCAAAAATAAGGAACACAGTGGATTTTATTTATACATAGCTTAGAGGTGTAGAGGTGTTATGGTCCAGTGGTTAAGTCTCTGGACTGGGAACCACAAGGTACAGGGTTTGAATCCCTGCCACAACACTTAAGCAAGACGTTAATCTACATTTGACACACTCCACCTTGGTGAGGTAAATGGGTACCTGGTAGGATTATTCCTTGAAATGCACTCTGCGCTGATAACAGCTGCCAGAGCCGATGCTAGGGTAATAATTTCCAGTGCTCTTTGGAAGCGCATAGGGACGTTATATATAATGTGTTATGCGCCATACAAGAACAGGGGGGTGTTTCACAAAGATTCTAGGTCGAACTTAACTCTAAGTTGGATTTAAAAATTATGAAGAGCCATTTGTAGCCTTATAATGAAATATATTCAAAAGCAAACATTCCAAGTATTCTAGACTTTTCATAAATTTCACATCAAGAACATGAAATCTCCAATGATAATAGAAAATATGAATGATTTGAATCAACATTTTATGCCTTTTAAAACAACTTTTACAAAATATTTTCAAAGATACTAACGGCTTCCCATAATTGTTAAGTCTAACTTAGAGATAAGTTCAACTTAGGATCTTTGTGAAACACCGCCCAGAAGATTATTATCAGCTTTGGTGACATTCTTACCTCTCCTTTGACCATCTGTATCTTGGCTCTCCACCATCCACAAGGCTCACCTTCAAACGACCTTGAATACACCTGAGGAGGAAAGGTTAAAGTTCAATGATAAGTGGTGAGGACAAGTACAAACCTTCTGTAGAAAACTCTTGGTGACTTACAACGCCTGTTATCAGGTACACACCAGATTGGCGTCAATTATCCCATGAAAAATCACTACTATGCATCTTAAACACCCGTATATAATTGCAAAATGAGAAGTCAAAGAGTAGCTTACTTCAACAATACACTTGTTTTCTTAGCATCATATGACATGTAATCAATACAGGAACTATTTGACTTTTCTTTCTAAAGAGTACAAAATGGGTCAAATTGCATTAACATATTCCTGACTTTTCCATATGGGGCGATTGGTGGAAGATGCTGAGCATTACAAAAACTGAAGGCTAATCCTGATGATTGACAAATGTTTGGTAAACACTTGATTGGTTTTGAATTCCCCATAAGAGCCCACCACTATGCATCTTTAATCTATGTTAATGATTCTCACCTCAATTTCATCATCAGCCTTGAGTTCGAGCACTTCTCTGGATGCTTCAGGTGGAAGACGAACTACGTTGATTGGAACTCTCCTCTCAGCTGTCCAACTAAAACAAACAAATAACCAAGAAGAGAAATAAAACATCCAATCACGCACTGGAGGGTGTTTCACAAAACTTGTCATCAGTGACAAATTACAGTTTTTGTTATAAGCTACGGAAATCCTTGCTTCTGATTGGTTATCCGCAAATTTGTCACTGATTTAATTTGTCATTGGAAAAGGGCTTTGTGAAACGGGTCCCTGGTCTAACAATTGCTGTGGCCAAATATTAAGAAGGTTATATTGGATCAGAGTATTGAACAGGGTAAGGGTTCAAATTGGGTTTAGTTTAGGTTTAACTCTTTATATGCCACGCAAATAATATTCCTGTCCCACATTTGTATTTATCATGGAATAGATATACCAAAGGCTGCAAGATTATTGAACTGTTTCCAGTGCAAGATTGATCTACACCAGTGTTAAAGAGATTGATCTACACCAGTGTTAAAGAGATTGATCTACACCAGTGTTAAAGAGATTGATCTACACCAGTGTTATAGAGATTGATCTACACCAGTGTTAAAGAAATTGATCTACACCAGTGTTATAGAGATTGATCTACACCAGTGTTAAAGAGATTGATCTACACCAGTGTTAAAGAGATTGATCTACACCAGTGTTAAAGAGATTGATCTACACCAGTGTTATAGAGATTGATCTACACCAGTGTTAAAGAAATTGATCTACACCAGTGTTATAGAGATTGATCTACACCAGTGTTAAAGAGATTGATCTACACCAGTGTTAAAGAGATTGATCTACACCAGTGTTAAAGAGATTGATCTACACCAGTGTTAAAGAGATTGATCGACACCAGTGTTAAAGAGATTGATCGACACCAGTGTTAAAGAGATTGATCAACACCAGTGTTAAAGAGATTGATCAACACCAGTGTTAAAGAGATTGATCAACACCATTGTTTAATAAAAGGGTTGTCATTGAGCTAATCAAGGTCAGAAATGGGTAATTTTGCAAAGCCATTTTGTTGTACAAAGCAATCCTTCCGTCAATTGGTGCCTATTGTTTTGTGCAAAATTGCATGTGTGGAAAACGACGACCGTGCAGAGAGGCACAAAAAGCAGCCAAAGTGTGTTTAGGGAATGCAGCCAAGGTTAGCAATTTCACTCGGGTAAGATATTTATTATGAAACCTTTCTCATGCAGTGGAGCATGTATCATTGTATCCAACACATCCACATCAGAATGAGAGTAACAGACAAAACTGAATAGTATATTTCTATCCAACATGGACCCTGTCTTGAGAATGCCACAGATACAAATATAAAAATGAATACAAATAAAACTGAACTTACTTGTTTTCAAATGCTATGCTTGCCTCATCATCAAGGATGTTCTTAAGTACAGCCTGTGGAACAAGAGAGAAGAATGTTTGTAAAGAACTATTTTATAAAATCAGGCAGGGCTTGAGACACAAATAGAAACACAGAGTAAAAGGACCCCAAATTTAGACTTCAGCCCCCCTCCCCCCTCCCGACACAGAAGTATGGAATTTAGAATGGGACCCCATGTACACAAATCCTCAGTGGAAAGAAAAATGTGTGTGGAGCCCTGAAATCAAAGCACTAGTGTTTCCAAAAATAAAAAAATACTGTAATTGTTGTTTTCTAAATTGTTTAAAATTAATTTATTTTATGGAAACGGTAACTCTTTCAGTATTAAAAACTGTTTTCTTGGGGGGACCTGTACAAATCAAAGGTTACAAATACAGAGGAAATTGAACAAAGTTTAAATACAAACATGAACATATCATATTATGGATTATTTTTTATTGTTTTTATGTTTGTAGACACCACGATATAAGCACACACACACAAAAGTAGATATTTGACTAGCTTATACAATTAAATACCAGTCCTTTCAAAATGACTAACAAAAAATTAAATTGGGAAAGCTGAAATACTTATTTGGTTTGCCATAACAGAAAAGAACAGACTCTGGGTTTAAAAAGACATTGCTCCTAGCCGTTTGAAAATATTACAAATGTAGTTGGTACTGTTGGTTCCATTAACGATCACATTGAAATAATGTGCCGGCCTCAGTACTGGCTTCAAAATCAAGCTTTTACATGCCATTATGTGAATAAACAATGTACATTACACCTGTCTGGCCGAGTTCAATGGAACATGTAGAAAAACCAATAAAGAGAAACCCACACTGTATAGTATTGTTCAAAGTTCACACCCGTTTATGTACACTGCACAATGTGGGAATTCCAAGCTGGGGGAATCCCCACCATTGGACTCTGTACATTGCAAAGTGATGTACTGAGGTGGGGCGTGCACACGCTTGTCTTGCGAAATATTGACTCAGGAAACTAGCTGGATGACTTTGAGTTGCAACATGCCCTGCATAACATTGTCTAGGTGCATGTATTCATAAATACGTAAATGTATTTGCAACTGAACTGCTCTACATGTATAGTGTACTTAAATATGTGTATTAGGCCTCCACAGCGACTTCTTTTTGTTCTTTCTGTAGCAGTACGAAATAGTACTTACATGTAGTACCGGTAGTGAACATTGTCATTAAAACATTACAAAAACATAAGATGTACAGTGCACATGTGTCCATGAATATGTACATACCCAGATAAATGGAATTCTATTTTGTTGAATATACATTTTATGTACATTAGGCCTATACAACTTTTTGGTCTCTGTAGCACTAAAAAATAGATGTATTCATTGTGGAAACATGGATAACAGAAGATGTTCAATTTACATGTGTCCATGAACATGTACTTTACATACACAGATGAATATACTGTAACAAGGCAATTTTATTTCGGAGAATAATGGATAACTTTGATGACAACAAATTAATTTTGATGGTCCCACTTCTTTGTAATTTTGTTTTGAGCCCTGATATATACTGTAACAAGGATAACCAGGTAATTTCCTTTTGACCCTCTCTGACCAAACAACAGCAATCACATAAACTCACCATTTTATATAATAAATTCATTTACCACTACACATGTTCAAGGAATTGCAAAGTCCAAGATATACATTAATTTCATAATGCATGTACATGCGTTTTAAATCTACATGTATCCCTTCCAGTTTTGTAGTGTGCATAATTTGTGTGTATTTTTTTTTCATTACAAAAAATTATCTTTTTTTCTAAAATTAAATAAATCCAAAGAAGTAATTGTTTGTTGTACATCTTCTATCAAATCTAATACTTATCAGGGATGAATACATGATTGATTCTGTATAATTGTCCCTCTTTATTTCACATAAATATGCCTTGGTAGTTACAGGTACACTGTTGCTCTCTTTGGTGAGGTTACAATACTGTCCAGCTGCATTTGGTGCATTATTGTACATACTTGTAAGCAGAACATAAAGACAAAGACAAGACATACATGTACTTTCATCTCAAAATAACTGACATTCCAAAGCTGTCTGTCTATTTCTATTTCTGAATGTACACATGGATCTTGAAGCTTCTTTTCCAATCCGATATGACAGAGACAGATCAAACAAGACTATAAAATACATGTACATGTAAACAGCTCTATCCACTTTTTTCTATACATGTAGCAGTGTAACAAACAAGAGAAAAAGGTCTACATTGGAACACTATGAAAATACATGTAGCAGAGAAAGTCTTTGATATACATACAATGTGTCTACTACCTCAAGTATATGTAGCATAATTTGCCAGAGAACAATGGCACCTATGGACATACATTGTGTAGAATTGACAATTCTAAAGAAAGACGTGCCCTCTTTCCTTGTGTCAATACAGCCCAACAAAACAACCCAAGTATTTTAAAGGGAAAAATATCAAATTGCACTTGCTATGAATGCATGCAAGTACTTGAGGACTGATTGTACACATGGAGAAGAACTGTATAGACATGCATTACAGAGACAAAGACATAATTCCATCTTCATCCCTCAACAACGGACATTCCAATGCTGTCTGTCCGTTCCTATTCCTGGATGTACACATGTATCCTGAGGCAACTTTCCCAATCCAGTGTGACAGAGACGAATGAGGGGGGAATTCTTCCTGATCGTCCATCATCTTTCGATGGGAATTGCGGAATGAAATCAACAATGAAGTATGGAGTGACCTCATCAGAGGAAATTTCATATCTGAATTTGTTTTGGCCTTGCTCTCATTGCAATGCAAGGGATAGTAGAATCTTGCCCACAATCAAGCCGCATTGGATCGAGCCATACAACCTGTACCTGCTTTGAGGATGGTTCAATGTCACTTTGATCCAGCCAAATGGGGGAGAGGGGGGGGGGCATGCCATTTTAAAAAGGTGGACTTTGGGGGCAGCTCTCACTTGGGAGTTCCACCACACGAGGTGACGTTGGCACAACACTAGCGCACACACTACATGTGCAGAGTTGGAATAGAAGGGCCTTGAATCTGGTTTGAAGTACCGTATTTTCCGGCGTAAAGGCCGCAGTATTTTTGGGTGAGAAAAAATCAAAAAGTCGGGGTGCGGCGTATACGCAACAACAACAAAATTCAGCGGTCAAAACATCACGTCCATTTGCACGTATGGGACTATAGGAACGGTAGCATGACTAGACAACGGTACAGGACAATTCTAGAATAACTCCACACAACTTACCCCCAATTTTATGTTGCATAGTTGACATGAAGACGAAAAAACTTATTTTTCTAATAAAATCTGCCGATAGATCTAGATCTAAGTCCGTACCATTGCATCGCCAAAAAGTAAACAAAGGGACAGGCCGTCTTACGGAGCTAGCTGCCGCGCAACGCAACTGCGCAGGTCGAAAAATGCTCTTTCGGATTACACCGCACATCGAGGAAGGGGTATTGTAGGATACCAAATCTGCGTACAATACAGTAACTAGCTTAAAAGTCGATGAAGATCTGCTAAATTATGATCATTTTTTAGGTTAACTTCTTGTTGATTTATAAGAATATTGATGAATTTGGTATAGTTTGTAAAAAAAAAGAGTGTTCTACAAGAAAATTACGATCATTTTGTTTGGTCCGTTTTTTTTTTTCTCTCTTTTTTTTTTTTTTTTTTTTTTTTTCTCTCTCTTTTTTTTTTTTTTTCCTCTACGAAATGTCAAAGTTGGGGGTGCGGCCTATACGGCGGTGCGGCCTTTACGCCGGAAAATACGGTATACAAAATTTAATAATGCCCTTCTGTCTTATGTCATAGACCATCTAATGTATATATCATGCTATACATACATGTATGTCTTGAAATGAGAATAGTCATGTACATGTACCACCTTTGTAGCACTCTTGAAGTAGTTTGACAATTCTTGGTCACCTCTCAAGTTTAATACAAGTAAAACTTTGTAGAGGGAAGAAATTTTGTAATGACATAGAAAATTATGTGAAGTGATAACAGGAACTTCCATAAGTACATGTACATGTACAATACCATGTACATGTACACACATTTTGCACAATCCTATTTCTAAAGTCACACCATTTTTACACCCCCCCCCCCCCCCCCCTTCTCCCCACAGACAGATTTTCAACAAGGCAATGGATGTACCTTTTAAATCAAATTATTGCTTTTCCGGTGAATAACTCTAAAAGAATCTTTCCTTCACTTGGCAATTTTAACCAGATTGTCAAACATTTAATGCAATTTAGGTTTCCCTGCCCACTGCGATCAATTGTGTCTCGTAAGATATTCGTCAAACAGGAATGATACAAAACTGGATTTACAAGAGACATGTGCATGCAATGTAATTTTATATTCATTGTCGTTGAAAATTCTGCAAGTAATCAAGTCATAATGTGCATGTAGAAATCCTGTGTCCCTCCATGATTTGGAAAGAGGAGACATAATGATTCTCGGGATGTTTGTTGGTTGTCCTTGAAAAGTGATAAATTTGTTTCTTTTCTTTGTCATTAGTCATTCATTCATATACAGTAATCATTCATTCATTCATCCTTCATTCCCATTAATTTATTGCTTAAAATTCAGAGAATTTCTAAGTACAAGGGTACTCCAAAATCTAATGACCCTTTCCAGGCTTTCCTATCAAGAAAAATCAAATGTATTCCCCCCCTTCCCCCCAACACAAACATATTCTATAAGTGATTTCTGCCCACGACCTGATATGGTCTGCAACTGTTATGTACATTCCCTTATAGTAACATACTGAACAAAGGCCTGAAGTATTTTCTCTACTTCCATCTCTCTCTCTCTCTCTCTCTCTCTCTCTCTCTTTCTTTCTTTCTCCATGGAACTCTCTCTCCTGTATCTCTCTCCTGTATCTGCCCCCTCCCTCTCTCTCTCTCTCCCTCTCTCTCTCCCTCTCTTTTTCTCTCTCTCTCTCTCTCTCCCTCTCTCTCTCTCTCTCACTCTTCCTTTCTCCATCT